TCGTTTCTATTCAGGGTCAGTGACAATTCCCCAACGTCCAGCTTAAGCTTCTTGGGGGCACGTACTGACTTTAAAACCTGCAGGAGTTTCTACCAGCTCGAAGCTCTGCGAAAGTACAAATGGTACTGGAGACTGGAACCCGATGTCGATTTCCTCTGCTCGATTACCTACGATCCGTTCGTGGAGATGGCTCGGCGGAAGAAGGTATACGGCTTTACAATCTCCTTATGGGAAGAATGGGACACGGTACCGTCACTCTTTCGACACACGGCCGAGTTCAAGGAGGCGTTCGATCTGGCGTCTTCGGCATTGTGGAAGGCCATGATGGAACCGTCATGGCTTCCGTATCCACTGCGGCCGCTGATGAGCCTGCTGCCGCACCGCGATCAATCTGGCGACGCCTGGAGCGGCTGCCACTATTGGAGCAACTTCGAGATAGCAGATCTCGACTTCTTCCGCGGAAAACAGTATCAGGCTTTCTTCAAGGCGCTCGATGATACGGGAGGTTTCTATTTTGAAAGGGTAAGTGGATTTCCAACGGTATTTTCAGTCAGTATTGTGTGGTGGGCAAAGAATCGGACTTGGAAAAGAAGGCTCGGAGATGAAGAAGCTGAGGGATGTCGTTGGAGAATTGGAATGACAAGGAAGCCAAGCTTCTGCCTTCCTTCTCCACCGTGAGCTTTGATGCTCCTTCTTCCAAGACTTGCCGAGTCGCATCTCGTCCAACCACGTTCTCTCCCCTGTGCCCGAACCCTTGGCAGCCTGAAGTCGATCACTAACCAGGATTTTGCGTTGCATTTAGTGGGGTGACGCCGCTGTACACTCACTGGCCGTCGGCATGCTTCTCGACGCGGACAAAGTGCATCATTTTGAGGATTTCGGATACAGGCACGACGAACTGTTTCAATGCCCGGCTAATGCGCCAGACGGGCAATTGCCTGGGTCTCAGACGCTTGGGAATGCGTCGTCATACTCAACACCAATTGATGGAGGAATCGGGTGTCGATGTGAGTGCGACGGCAAGGTGAGGAGGAACCATAACGGATACTGCCTCAATAAGTTGAAGGAGCCGAACACTGCGCAGCGACCTTGGTTTTCTTGGACATTGTGACGTGAGTTGGAGCGGTTGGATAGACGCGCGCTGGAGGAGACACACAGAAGTATACCCATGTTTTGTTAGAATACATAGAAGAAGGATTCGTTGATACAGAAATCTAAGCCCAGGTCAAGATCTTATTCAGATCCGCTTCCGTCTAGACCAATAACTCCAGGCACCTATAGTCACACACGTACATTACAAGGTCTATCTCATCAAGGAAGCTGGCGTAGCTCCTAATCTTCATCAGAGTCATACTTGCCTTGGTAGTCCCCAAGCAAGATGTCGTCCACCGCAAGTCCCGACGTGTTGTTCCGCAGCCACTCTGTTTCAATCCGGAAGAAAATCCATACCCATCGTCTGAATACCTCGAGTGACTGCAGTAAGAAGATGGAACTCTCGAAGTCGGTAAACTTGTCCAAGTGTGCGTTCAGCTTGAGCGACCAGGTACACCGCAGCATCAAGTCCATCCCGATCACACCATAGTAGATGACAGGCTGCTGGAAAACAAGCCGCCGGCGAAGCCCGAACGGGTGCTCCGGATTGTTGCGCTCGCGTGCCGACGAGAATAGTGTTAGGTCCCAATCCTTGGCAACATCCCAATACCACGAGTAAAGGGAGTTGACCAGCACTGCCACCAGCCATGCTCTGTTCAATCCAGGCGCTGGCTGATCAGCCGGAACGCTCCGCTGCAGTGCGCTGAAGATGATAACGGGGAAAGCCGTGGCGTATTTGGTGGCGTTGGCCAGATGCTGTCCGCCCCAACCGACTGACTCCTTGTAAGGCGCTCTCCGGACTCGAAAGTACTCGATGATGCACTGCCTGAATCGTATCGCGAAAGGCACTGCCATGATGAGCGGCACTATCACTGTTCCGCCGCAGTTTCGGTCCGGTCGCGCAGTCGAAGACCCTGACGGCGTGAAGAACATGCAAAGCACCACGTAAAGATCTCCCAGGATCTTGGAGTAGCTCGTCAATACGTCGGCGAGCAGGATATCTCCAAATTTCCCATCCTTTGCTTCTGCTATACCTCCGATACTCACGCGTCGCAGTGTAGCGAGAAACCGCGATCGCCCGCCTTGCGAAAAGTTGCGGATGGGCACAAAGAACAGGGCCGCAAGGGCGACCAGGTAGGTCATCGGTAACCAGTCATACTCGATGACAAGGGCGGGGTTTCGACGGGAGAAGATCCAGAACGTCGAAATCGAGAGAAGGAAGACCGTCGAAAGTACGGTCGCAAGGCGGTAAGTCGATAGGTGATGCGCCGGTTGTGTCGGAGAGGATCGCGAGGGATATCGAATCAGGGAGGGCACATCGATCTTGACTTTGTGCAGGTAGTGGAGGTTGACACCCCAGCCCCATACGGCTATGCCATAGTCAGCGTGTCATTTCAGTCTGCGCGCAGTCGCGACCTACCGAGAACAATAATGAATCCAATGCGATAGGGTAGGGGAAAGGTCAAGCTGAACGAGTCGAGCTGCGACTCAACCTTGGGATCACCGTCCATGGTTTTTGGTGGAAGGGGGAAGAGGCATCGAGTGAAGGAAAGGAAAGGCGAACTCTCTGGAGCCAAAATTCGAGTGCAAAGGAGTGACGAGAATACAAAGAAGATTCATACGAATTAAAATCCGAGTCGCTCAAGACGTGGATCGCAAAGCCTCGAGGTCGACCTGGAAATGAGGATAGTTTGTCCCGTACTCTGTACAGTTCAGGAGGTAAATTGTCCTGTACGTCTTATCGTTATCAATCAGGCGGATGGTCTGTGCCTCAAGGGACCTTACCACCTTACGTACCCCTGACGGCGCTGCAATAACGTCTGGGGTAATTCTTAGGTAACTGACTGGGTCAAGAGGCTTTCATGGTGATTCCAATTCATACGCATTACCATAGTCTCGCGAAATGAGCATTGCCTAATCGTTTTGAGAATGTCTGGAGAGTTCAAAAGCTCTGCTTCACTTTTGTACCCAAGGTAAAACCTTGCAAGAGGTAAAGTCGAGGTTGAAAGCTGAGGCAAATGAGGTTTCCCTTATTAGCATGTAAGAAGACAATTTGAAGCCATCAGGCCCATGGCTTTGACACATGCGATGTGAATGGGGCCCTCATAAACATAGGTATTCTAATTCATCTTCGATCGAAGAGGGCATTGAGGGCTCCACGTCGCTGCCGGACGCTGGGTGCCGGGCTTGGCGGGCTTTCTTTGGGATTTGAGTGTCATGTCTCCAGCATTACTTGCACATACACTGTGTGATTAAGATTGCCCGAAACTTGTTATTTGACTAGTAAACCAGCCCCTTGCAGTAAGATTGTTAGGTCGGCGTGGTTCAAGACTGTGTCAATTGATGCCAGCGGAGACGAGGTCCTTCGGGACTAATAAGCAGACATGTCAATGACAAAGTGATTTAGGAGACGCTATACTTAGAGCTGTAACATCTGAGGGCATATAGGCGCATGTGGCTTCAGTTCTGAGCTCATCACGGGTGTAGATGAGGAAGGCATTGTCGATGACCGCCATGTAGTACGGGCTACGTAGGAATAGCAAATCCTGGACGGTGAGCTATATTTCCGTATAAGTGACGGCTTCCATGGACACTCCCTCTGAAGGCGCAGTGTTTTTCTTCTCCAGTAGGCTTTCGGTAAGGTACTGCCTAACTCCAAGCTTGATACTGCAGATTCGAGATGCAGGTGAGAATCAGTACACTAAGAAGGGTTTCTTACACGGGCCATTAGCCATCAATAGTCCGGTTCTTAGCATCCTCTCGTACTTCTATCAGGAAGGCCTCGTCCTCCTCACATGTCAAATCCAGCCAGTCACTCCAGGTGATCCTGTAGTACAGCGGATACGTTCCCCCCACCCCTTACCAAGGTAAGCTTGCTTGCCAGGTCTATATATTGAAGTTGCTGTTGGTAACATTTTCGACGGAGTTCTACGTTCGTATCACCAAGCTTCAAGGAATAGATGAAGATGACTAGTGGTGGCTGGCAATGTAAAGAATCTTTGAACTTTGATAGAACCAGTGATATAGGGGCGGATATATTAGAAATTGGCATGGAATGGCTCATTCACTCGTGCCCATGCTATTCGAATCGTATTCCTTTTCCCTCCCAAGATACCGATACATTATTGAAGATGTGCTTGAAGATCTTGAAATTTGACAGACTTATGTTTCCAAATGAGGGTAATGGCACAAAGAGCTAGAAAGTCTTCATTTGCTAGCTTGCTGGAACAAGTGTTCACAAAGTAATCAACGCTGAGCAATTTCAATCCCTCTCACATGCGAAAGATGCGAATTGTCCAACATGAACCAATCATCACAATCATTGGTCCATCTGTAATCTTGCGATACTAGCGAGCACTTGTTCACAACATGGTGGCTCCGCTGATGAGGAAAGTTTGTATAGTTGTTTTCATAGATTACACGAGTCTGTAGTGAGGTATGTTTTAGGGCTAGAAGGGCGTGGCACAGAGACTATTGCATTTGAAATATCATGGCAGTCTATCAACCACTCACTTGAGGTATCTAGATGATTGAAATGTCTAGCTTCATTGACAATGAGAACAGCTAACTAGGTACTGAGGTATCCTTACAGGCCCGTCATGGCCTCAATCAAAAACAAGCTATACTAGCAGTCCAGCAGAAAAAAAAGCCAGTAGAAAAGCCACTCCAAACGACGAAGATGCGGCTCGGGTTCCCAAATCATGCTTTTCCCACCCTCCCAGGCCGCAACAGCATCTGGTATCTCTCCAGCCTCCCAATTTACTCCAAACGCCACTTGGCAGAGTGCCATTTCCAGGACCGACCCCAAAACGTAGTCCAACAGAGAGAAAGAACGGTTACTTTACATGCCAAGCCTCCAAAAGCTATGCATTAATCGAGTGGTCTTCGCCAAAGCAAGCAGCGAACGTCTATGCCTCCACCGCAACAGCCGGGGCGCTGACTGCTGCTGGCTCGGGCTGGTTAAGCTCCTCCTCCTCGGCGATCTCGCCGCCTGCTTCGCGTTCAGCCCAGGCTCCCCAGAGGCCACGCTTGGCTCGGACTTTGATAGGTGCGCCGAGTGTCTCGCCCTGCTCAACCTTGATCGCGTCCTTCGTGGCCAAGACGAGACATTCGAAAAACATCTTGGTGGCGTCAGCCTTCGTCGTTCTCCCCTCGGGAAGGAGGTCTTGGAAGACCACGGCAGTCTTCTTGCGCTTGTCGGCGTCGTGCTCGGCGTCGGGGCCAAAAATGTCTCTTAGCACGTGGACAGCGTGCTTGGTACCCATAGAAACCGGACCACTGTCCTGAGGGTGGACGGCAGGAGCTGTTGTCTCGTCAAAGTCGGGCATGGCGCTGCCTTCGCGCGAAACAGGTCGGCCGGTGTTGTCGTCGTCTCCTCCAAAAGCAATGCCCTCCTCATCAGCCGGGATCTCAAGAATAGTGCCATCGGCCGCTATGCTTTGGTTGCCCAACCCGGCATCTTCGACAGCAAACGCGTCATCCTCTTCGACGTTCAGGCGAGGCGACTTGGATGTGGCGCCGTTGTCACTCTCCACATCAGCGATTCCGCTGTCCCGCTTCCTCTTCAACTCGTTTGATCGGCTGACAGCCTCGAGAGAAAGCATTCCTCTCAGCTCAGGTGCCCAACCGGCACTGCGACCGTCAAGCATGATGTTGGAGACGAAGCCGCCACTCTTTTGCATCTCCATAAGAGCCAGAACGAAAGGATCTCTAGGCAAGAACGATTGAGCTCTGAGGATGTTGGCGTGGTTGGCTTGTTGGTCTTTGATGTGAGTGCTTGAAAGCATCGTCTGCTCGTCAGGCAACAGAACCTTCCTCTTCTTGGCTCGTTGAGGATGACGAATGACTGTATGCTCCTCCTCCTCATCTGGCTCGTAGAGATCTGTGTGCTGGATACGGGAGTATTCCTCCTCAACTTCTCTCGCGAACTCCGGGTCGATTTCTGACAGTGGTGATTCGGAGATACGGCCACGAGGCATATCCAGAGGACCGCCAGCAAGACCGGGAACAACAGATTGATCGCCGAGAGGGAATTGGAAGTCGTCATCGCCCATTTGAATGTCACCCTCCTCGTCAGCAATACGGACAGTGTCGTCGCCAAAGTCAAGGTTCAGACCCAGTGAAGGCTCACGTTCGGTCTGGTCCTTGCCTCGCGGCATGATGTCGAGCTCGCTGAACATGTCGTCCTCGACTGAGCGAGCCAGAGGCGCATCTCTTCCCATTTCAATGGTCGTATCCATGCGGGTGGGTCGCTCATCAATGTCCATGCCAAAGTCGAGTTCAAGGTCGAGATCTTCCATAGGTGCAAGCTCCAGTTCGTCATCGAGGGTGTCCGCCTGGTTGAGGAATTGGCTGTTGTTGAAATCCTCTTGAAGGTTAATGTCGCGGTTGCTGACACGCCCCTTGCGACCGACTGGAGTAGCTGTGACATCGTCCATTTGCGACAAAAGCCAAGCGGCATCAGGAGGCGGCGGGAGATCCAGGTTGTCTAGTGGAGTAATCTTGTCAGGCAGCAGCAGCGCTTCGCGGTTGTTGACGTAGAGATTGGCGGCTGCCATGTCGTGATTGTCACTCGAGCGGAAGGCCTATATAAGTCAGTAAAACGCGTCAAATATCCAAGCAGGAGGCAAGAAGCGCACCATCTTGATCTTCATTGAAGCCTCATTGCAATCCTCGAGCAGATAACGGGCTTTGCGATTGTAGATTCTGACAACACCCAGCAGCAACTGGCCACTTAAACGAAGAGCCATCGGGGCCTGGCCAGGCGTAATGATAGCCTCTACACTGTCCGGCAGGTTGGACTGCAAAATGTGCGTCTTTGAAAGCTTGCGCTCAATGTTGGCCGACAGCCAAACGCGGGCCAACGGCCCGCTCTTCTGGAGAAGCGTCTCCGAATAGAACATGGCGGCGACAACGATTCGTGACGCGAGGGTGTTGATGCAAGAGGCAAGAAGCAAGAACTACTCCTCGTTAGGTATATAGGCAGCGACGCGCGCCGGTGTTGGAGGGGTGGTTGCGGAAGCTCTCGTAAACACGAAAACGCGTTGTTATGGGAAATCGGGTCGCGTTGGGGATGTAGCGGTCGGGGCGAAGTCTAACACGCGCGGAGTACGAGGCGCGGTGACATGAAGCAAGTCGTGAGGATCGCGAAAGGCTGAAAAGTAAGTTGCAGCGATAGCAATAGTAGCAAGAGCGCGATGTGCAGCGATGAGGGAGATGGAGGAAATGAGCAGGAGGGGGGGAGTCAAGGTGTGGTGGTCTTCTCTCTCTCGACGCCGTGCCGGTGGACGCAAATTGACGGGGCTGGGATTGGGCAGGGATTGGTCCGCGCAGAATTTGGTGGCACCAGCCACATCACGTGAGGCCGTTGCTCCGCTCTTGGATCATCAACTTGCTGACCCGGCGACCATCCCGGAAGCAGCGGGTCATAGGTATCTTTCCGTCCTGTGGCGGTGTGAAGAGTACATGGCAGGGATGCCAACTTCCCATGCCTTATCTAATCATTTTCAGGTACGAGGAGGACCGGAGCTTTACCAACAAGGAAGCTGTACAAGTAAGTCGAAGCAGGCACCATGCATGGTGAATACCACTTGAGGTGTCGAGGTACCGCGGAACATGCAGCTCGAGTTGGGTTTCTAACAGGATATCCTTTTGCCTCGTTCATCTCACCCACAACGCATCGTTCATATGCGGTAAACACCTGAGCTGCAGCTACTACTGTAAGCTGAGCTGAGGAATCTCGAGGCGAGGAGTTCCTACTGCTACAGGTCCGTTTGGAGATACACATGAGATGAAACCAAAATTGGGTAGTGTGAGCTCTCGAGATATCATTGGAGGCCCAGTGTCTCCAATTTGAATCCCCAACATGATCACCATGCTTTGGGACCTGGAGGCCCTGGCTAAATCTGGCGTGCAGCAAGTCAAATTGTCTTTCAAAGATGAATGTTGGTGTCACCTCGCGCTGCGATTTGAAAACTCTAGAAACTCACTCGGTGCAACTGACCTCGATGGTGAAAGGTCCCGTGCATTTTCTCTCCCATACAAACTTGAGCAAGGCAGGAGTAGTACGATAGGTACACTGGCATTAGCACCAAGTCGTCAAATTAGAACCGTTCGTTCCCTTATATACCTACCTATGGCATGGATAACTTGACGTTGCAGCCATGAGACATGTAACTGATATCGTGCATGCCCATGTCTGGATTGCTTACGGCACTGGAGCAGCCATCCACGGGGATGTGCGGAGCGGCGACACTGCTCCCGAGTCCTCGTTCCAGGGCCCCCTGTACAACAGCCACGGACCCGCCGTACTAAGCGTCGCGTTGGCACGCCGCACGCCCTGTCCCTGGTACCAGATTTGGCCATGCATCTGCTATTCCAGCCGAAGGCACACGTTTTCTCATCTTTTACCACGACATCCGCTTGCCTTCACTCAGTTACCAGCTTCCACGAAACTATGTCTTCGGACCTAGCTCCCCGCAATTGATACCTTGGCGACGAAGGAACTTTAGTCCTCCCAAATCGAACGTACTCTGACTTCCGACGACATATCCTTTCGCTTGGGCGCATGCCTCCTTTTCGCTTCGTACACTGACAGATGATCGGCGCTGGGCGTTCTGCAACTATTCCAAGGCCGTGACCGAGGGATTTCTGCCTCGCCATACGCAGATATGCAGTGGCCGTGGCATAAAAGGAAGGACTCCGACGATGGCGAAGCTTTATTGCCTCTGGCGGCCAAGATGCCGAGCATCAATGGTTTGACCATGGAACCTATGGAGACGGAATCATCGCGATCTAGGCCAGGCCACATTCGAACCACATCAGCGCAATCAAGAGTAATGGGCTCCCTTAACTTCCATATCCTCGATATCTAGCTAATTTCTGTCTGCATAGAGCACCGCCGACGAGTTCTCCTCGATGAGTTCCGCAGAAGCCGCCAGCCGCCTTCAAACGTCACTTACCCACGGTCTATCGCCAACCGAAGCCTTGACTCGACTCAGCGACTACGGTCCGAACGAGATCCCTCACGAACCCCCAGAACCGCTATGGCTTCGTTTCATCAAACAATTCCAAGAGCCGCTTATTTTATTGTTGCTCGTGTCGGCCGGAGCGTCCTTGTTTTTGGGCAACATGGATGATGCAGTCAGCATCACAGTCGCCGTGACCATCGTGGTCTCGGTCGGTTTTGTGCAAGAATACCGCTCAGAGAAGTCGATAGAGGCTCTTAGTCACTTGGTTCCGGCCCATGCCCATCTGGTCCGCTCAGCTATCAGCAAGACACCCGGCAGCGCCAAAACTCCGACTTGGCCGCCACAGGGACCTATGGACGGCACAGAGTCAGTTGGATCTACCACGCCTGGGGAAGAAATGCTGGAAGCAACCTCATCAAAGGTCATGGCCTCACAGCTTGTGCCGGGAGATTTGGTCTACTTCACCACGGGCGATCGTATTCCGGCGGATATTCGGGTCACCAAGGCAGCAGATCTCACGATTGATGAGTCAAATCTCACAGGAGAAAACGAGCCTGTGCGGATCACCGCAGAGACGAAGGCGCGGAGCCTCTTATCTCCTGCATATGGTGCAGACACGCTTCAGCTTCCGAGCCCATCTGCCTTGTCCGACAATCGTGATGCAGGTGGGAGTGGCGAGAATAACATCGCCTGGATGGGCACGCTGGTGAGGTCTGGTCACGGCCAAGGCATTGTTTTTGCAACGGGCGGACAAACCAACTTCGGAACAATTGCGACTAGCGTGTCTGGAACAGAGAGTCCTCGTTCGCCTCTCCAACTCTCCATGGACGACCTAGGCTCTCAGCTCAGCAAAGCCTCGTTCGTGGTCATTGGACTCATTTCGCTAGTCGGCTGGCTTCAAGGAAAGAAGCTGTTGGAAATCTTTACTATTTCGATTTCTCTTGCTGTTGCAGCTATTCCGGAAGGTCTGCCAATTATCGTAACCGTAACCCTGGCTCTGGGCGTTCATAGAATGGCTCGCCATAACGCCATCGTACGCAGAATGCCCAAGGTAGAGACTTTGGGTTCAGTAAATGTTGTTTGTACCGACAAGACAGGTGTGTGGTAGAAGGACTAGAGGGAGATTGAACCAGCTGGTTGCTGACATGCCGCAGGTACTCTTACCATGAACCACATGACAACCGCCAAAATGTGGTACTTTGGTGCTAACGATGCCATTGATGTCGAGTCCGATGATGAAGCGACGGAAACCAAGCCCGATCCTGCTACTCTACGTATTTTACGGATTGGTAACATTGCGAACAATGGTCGCTTAGCACAGCAGTATACTGAAAACGGTGCAGCTGCAAGAGCTGTGTTATCGTCAACTCAAGGAGCTGACTTCACTTCGACTTACACGCGCTGGTGTGGCCAACCTACGGACGTTGCCATGCTCGACTTGCTTGACAGATTCAAGGAACATGACGTTCGCGAGTCTATCGGCCCGCGTCTGACGGAGACCCCCTTCAGTTCTGAGCGGAAATGGATGGGTGTTACCATTGGAACTAACGATAAGGAGTTCGCCTACATGAAAGGATCCATCGACAGAATTCTCGAAGCTTGTGACACCTATCTCACTCGGGACGGCCGAGAGATTGTCCTTGACTCTACGCGTCGTGAAGAGGCCCTGCAAGCTGCTGAGACTATGGCGTCAAAGGGCCTCCGCGTACTTGCATTTGCCAGCGGCGCAGTTTCTAGATCTAGGGGTAGAACAGCACTTGCGCCGACTAGCCGAACCAACACCCCCCAACCCGTCGACGAAACCTACAGGGGCTTGACGTTTGCTGGTCTGGTCGGCATGAGCGATCCGCCAAGGCCAGGAGTTGGCAAGTCAATTAGGAGGCTTCTGCGTGGAGGTGTCAGAGTTGTCATGATAACAGGAGATGCCGAGACGACCGCCGTGGCGATTGGCAGGCAGCTTGGCATGCCGATTGCGAAGCCAATCGAATACGCCTCTAATCAAGCTGCAGTTCGGCCAGTCCTAAGGGGAGAGGACGTTGATAATATGTCAGAAGAGGAGCTCTCCCACGCCATTCAGCACACCACCATCTTTGCTCGCACGAATCCGGACCATAAGCTCAAGATCATTCGGGCTTTCCAGGCCAGAGGTGATATTGTCGCCATGACTGGAGACGGCGTCAATGACGCACCAGCACTGAAAAGAGCGGACATCGGCATCTCGATGGGCTTACACGGGACTGATGTGGCCAAGGAGGCTGCCGATATGATTCTCACGGATGACGATTTCTCAACGATCCTTAGAGCAATCGAAGAGGGCAAGGGAATCTTCAACAATATCCAGAACTTTTTGACATTCCAGCTGAGCACAAGCGCAGCCGGTTTGTCTCTGGTACTTATCTGCACAATACTCGGATTCAAATCGCCGCTGAATGCTATGCAGATCCTTTGGATCAGTAAGTCTTTTCATTTCTAGAGAAGGTTGTGCCCAGACTAACAATATCCCAGACATCATCATGGATGGCCCACCTGCTCAGTCTCTTGGCGTAGAATCCGTTGATGCCGATGTAATGAATCGGCCTCCTCGGAAGCGGAACGATGCGGTACTCACGAGGGCTCTGCTCTACAGGGTAATGACCTCGGCATTCATCATTATGGCGGGCACGATGCTCGTATATAGACGCGAGATGCTTGCCGATGGCGAGGTTAATCGCCGCGATACAACCATGACCTTTACTTGCTTTGTATTTTTTGACATGTTCAACGCAATGGCCTGCCGATCCGAATCAAAGTCAGTTCTGCGAGGCGAGGTTGGGCTCTTCTCAAACACCTTATTCAACTGGGCAGTCTCTCTCAGCATTGCGGGCCAGTTGCTTGTCATTTACTTCCCTTGGCTCCAGGAGGTTTTCCAGACAGAGGCTTTGGGCTTATTCGATCTGTTGGGGCTTTTGATGCTTTGCAGCACGGTGTTTTGGGCGGATGAGTTTAGAAAGTACTGGAAGTATGCCAGACGGCGCATGGGGGGCGGTTACAGTCAGGCAGTGTAGACCAAGACGCGGAAGTATCACTCATGCGAAGGTACGGGGGAATCGTACCAGTCAACGGCCTTAGCATATATGTAAAACTCTGAATACGGTAAATAATTTTAACGGCCTTTTCAAAATTCAATTGCAAAATCACTACCTGCTTTCGTCCGATGCTCTGGAATAGGACAGCTGTGCAGATCAGCCCAAAGTATGTTCCTCCCTTGCGCCCACACCTTAACCTCGCTTATCGGTGAGCTAGGTTCACCGAACCTCCTACCTAGCACTTCGGGCCAGCTAACACCTTGACCTGGACCTCAACCCTCACGGCACAGACAACACCCCCCTACCTCTGCTGGCAGGCCAAGGTAGCTATGCACCCGTCAGCTAGCTCGCGCCAATGTCAACACTCACGAATGGCGTTTCCTCCCATCGCGCGGACAGCGACAATGCCGCCGACGGCGCACACAGCAGCGCTGCGGCCCGACCCAGCTGTAGCGGCACCAGCAGCATCTACGCAGCATCGAGCGTCGCCGAGGTGCATGCTGCCCTCGAAGCTCTCCACGCCCGCGAATCGACAATCACGAGCCGTCTCGACGCACTCCTAGGCTCCCAGGCCGACCTCGCCCGCGAATTAGGACGACTAGACCTGCTGCGCGCGGGGCTCGGTAGTCAGGTCATTGCTGCCCGGTCCGTTGGCAATGACATGCTCTCGACGGCCGCGGACACGGCGGGGCGGCTAAGCAATAAGGTGAAGGAGCTGGACTTGGAGAAGAGCCGGGTCGAGGATACACTCGAGGTTGTGAAGCAGGTCGTCGAGCTCAAGGCTTGTGTCCAGGGCGTCGTGGGCAGCATGGGTGCCCCGCAGGACTGGGAGGCGGCCGCGGCGTACCTTGCGCGGGCGGCGCAGGTGCCGGAAGATATCACCAAGGGCAAATTTGCGGCGTCGATTGTACCGTCCGTCGAGGTTCCCGACCCCCCGTGGGTGACGCTCGAGAACGCCAAGGAGAGTCTATGCGGGCTGTTCCTCAGGGAGTTCGAGAAGGCGACCAAGGAGGGAGACGGTGCCAAGGTGACGAGGTTCTTCAAGCTCTTCCCGCTCATTGGAAGAGGAGACGTTGGTCTGGACGTATATGGGCGGTATGTTTGCCAAGGCGTGGCCGGTACGGCGCGATCGGTATTGAAGGAGAGTCCCGGTGTCCAGGCGAGGAAAGAAGGCTTCTTCTATGCGAATGCTCTCACCAGATTGTTCGACCATATTGCACGCATTGTGGAAGGTCACGGAGGTCTTGTGGAGCTGCATTATGGCTCTGGCAAGATGGTTCGTGTCATTGAGCGTTTGCAGCAGGAGGCCGACGTACAAGGAGGCATTGTCCTCGACTCGTGGAGCGATGAGCGAGACGTGGACAGGCGGCTTAAGGACGTCAAGAGCTACCCCTTTTCTTTCTTGGTGCAGAGCTTTCTCCCTCAGCAGAGAGGTGGGACCCCGCGGGTCAACTCGCCTGCCATGGGCGCCGGCGCGAACCCGCGAGCTAGTGAGGATGAGGGCGTCAACATGAAGGAGGTCGATGGCCTTCTAAGTGAGATCGCAATCATGCTCGGCCGGTGGTCTCTATACTCCAAGTTCCTAGCAGGAAAGACTCGCGTAAGTTGATTGCCTCCCTACTACTACGAACACGTTACTAACGACTCCTTTAGGACCCATCTACACCCGACGACGCTCCCCTGTCCGTGCCGGAAGTTGTCGTCAAGTCCAACCTCAGGAAGAAGGTTTCGGACAAGCTTACATCCCCCTATAACATCATGATGACTTTCTTCTTCCGGAGATCAGTTGAAAAGGCGTTCCAACTGGACGAGTCGCCAGCGAGCAGCCTGTCTCTCAGTATGAATAAGCACATTGACACAAACCAAGCATTCATCATCTCTGCGGTTGACGACGTCATGTACGTCGTCAGTGCCGTTATCCAAAAGTCAATATCGACATCTCAAAGAGACGTCATCTCATCCGTCATTCCCACCATCGGTCGCGTCCTCGGCTCAGACTTTGTCGGCATGATTCAACGAAAGATGCGAGACGAGTCCTACCCCAAACCAATTGTGCAAGGAGGATTCCCGCCAGAAGACAGGATCATCCAGTTCATCGTCCTCATCAACAGTCTTGATACTGCCAATGAGTACCTCGGACGCATCATTACGACCAACGTCGGAAGCACAAACGACCCGCCAAAGGTAAATGGCGATGCTCATGAGGCATCACTTAGAGACACATTCCCTTTCGACAAAGACGTTGCTTTCGTGGCTTCTGCTCTCAACACACTGCAAAGCTCCTTCACCACGAAGACCACCGAGCTTCTCAACGAGGGACTCCAGGTTCTTTTCAAGCAGGTCGTTCAACCACGCCTTCGGCCTGTGCTCAGCGACACCTTCCGCGACGTGGACTACTCTTTGACGGAAGAAGAGCTAGCCGAGTTTGCTCAACAAAACGACGAGGACGAGGAGGAGATGCTAGACCAGGTGTCCCGTCGCTTTGAGCACGGCTGGGACCAGCTCATGAAGCCTGTCGCGCGTCTCATGACGCCTCACACCTTTACGACGCTCCATGACCTGACGGCGCGGTACCTCTCGCGTGTGCTCGAACGCAGGGTCTGGGATGCCCGGGCGAACGCCTATGGTGTTATCCGCATGGAGCGCGACTTCTCCAGCATCGTCAGCACCGTGTCCAAGGGCAACTACGGCGTCAGAGAGCTGTTTGCGAGGGTCTCACAGATCTTGATGGTGGCCAATATGGAAGAGGAGGAATGGGAGGAAATTTCTGCTCAGCCGGATGACGGGGAGGATGATGGTATGATTTGGGTTCTGACTGAAGATGAGAGGCGACGGGCGAGGCATCTTACGTCTAGGGAGCGCAGAGGATGAGTTTCCATCTCGAGAGAAAGAGAAGAGATGCACTCCTCCTTTGTCAAGAAGGAGGCTTTTGTGCAAAAGAAGTGATGGGCGGGTTTGGAATACAGAAAAGCTGATGAGAAATGACCTCCTTTTCACTCCAGCAAAGCGGCATTTCACGATCAAGATGTTTGCTTGGGGGTGGGTATCCAAGATACAAAGAATATTATCGAGACTGTTACAAGCATCTGTGCTGTTTAAGGATCTGCTTGATTTAATGGTGAATAGCACGGGTCAAAGACGTATCGATCTATGGCCGCACCTGCCATCGAGTATGACAGCTCGAGGCCATTTCTTAACAACTGGTCATTTTTAATTCATCACGTAATCCTGCCTCCTTCCTAGTAGGACCCCAACCGGTCTATACCTTCCCACACTCGAGGCTTCCATCACGATCCATACTCTACTTTGAGCAAAGGAAATCTTCTCTCAATTTCCACCTGCCATCCTCAAGTTCCCACATCTTCCATGTCACAGCCCCCCTGACCACACTATCAAAAAGCGAAGAGATGGTGGCGACATCGAAACTACGAGCAAATGTCTCAAGCAGTTGGTTTGCATGCCATGCGATGTCCTTGAACAAAACCCTGCCATCATCTGTCGGTTGGCGTCTATTGATTGCGTTGACATCCATGACAAGGCTGACCTGATGATGATGATGGGACTCATCAGTCTTGAGCACTCAACCTGTAGGGTTAATCGATGTCTTTTTCTTCGCGTTTCCATCCTTGAAGGGGTTAGGTTGGATCAAGAAGGCTACTCCAGCTCCGACAGCCGAGCTGATCTGGAGTATCTGCAGGATGAACATATCCACGGTCATATCGCGAAGCCTGTCCCCGAGGTGTAAGTACAGATCATCTCGACTACTTGAAGTCCATTCGAGCTGACTGAACCCCAGTATCTCGGAACTCAATTTCCCTTGGTCATATATGGCCGTCGTCTATCGAGTACGAGCGCGTGTCATTAACGGGTTCGTGAACCAATTGTAAGAGCAAGACAAACGGCCATAGACGACAAAGACTCTAGTATATAAGATCGACTATAGCTATGCTTCTAGGTAAGGTACTGTGAAGGCAAGTATGTCAAAAATACCCGCCACTAATCCCTGGTTGATGATCTTCACTCAGGGTGAGACTGATCGCGCCGTTTCGGAGATCAGATTTCGGCGATGTGGCCTAAGAGGCAATTCAAAAGAGCTCCATCTTCGAATACTTAAGACGGTATCGTGCTGGCGGTGACTAAGAAGTGTACTTGAGGAATACGCCTGCGAGGCAAACCCGCATCTTCGACAGAGACAGATTTATCGTGTACTCTGCGATCGCTCTAGTACATTACGAGCCGTCAAATTGCCCCTGTATTCACTCCTTATAGCCAAATTTTCACCTCCGAAGAACGAAACGTCGAACGTGTTAACAACTACACTGGTGGGAAGAACAGAAACGAGCGAGACCTCCAGACGAGCAAAACTTGTGGGGAAGAAATGAAAAGCAGGCCCAAGTATGTTGAGCCCTCATCGAGTTGATCTGTGAGCATATCCGTGTCACTCCTGACTGTAGGTCGGATTCTTTCGACTCTGTCACAACATAACGTCTATGAATGAACGAGCAGGGCGGGCGGCACTGACTTCGTTTAGGTATCTCGTCGCTAAAAGCGAGTCACATTCCCGACCCCTCATAATTAATAGCCTGACATCGCCTTGTAACGCGGTCGCGGTAGCAGCAGAAAGCATTGCTTGAGGTCCAACCACCAAGCTTTGCGGTCTATGCAGAGAGCCGATATCATGTATAAATGGGTCCTCCATTTCTTGTCCACAGCCTTGCTATCACCATCTCTCACGCAACATAAAAGATGGCCACGGGCTCAATCTCAACTCTCCATTCTCAGGACTAATCAAGTGAGCTTAGTCGTCGGGAGAATGCTTGGCACACTGACAGGGTCCAAGTTCCGGCGTTTCAAGGGTCACCCGCGTAGAGACGGTTCGAAACTAGCCATCGATGACGACCGCCGCTCACCTGAAGACATTGAGGGTTCGGCAGCGTGGAACCGTTTGCGGGCCGCGACAAGAATACTCTACGATTGGTGGCGGCCAACGACGGCGCGTCGTCGACTACCCCAGGATGGCCGTCGAATCACTTCAGGATCCTGAACAACTTCGAGCTCGGACCCAGGCTTCGATGCATCATCTGCTGCTCGATCGAGACGAACTATTCTGTGCGTCGGCGGAGTCTCGAAGCTGCCCACGACTTCGGACGGACCACCATCCGTCCAATTCACCTGAGTCAGAGAACCTAGCATCTGGCAGATCGCAGCATGGTTCCAGAGGGCGTTTTTTTGCAATAGAGACGCCGAGGGGACCGAAGAAGCAGAATGGTGGGACCCTGAGACTTTGCATTGCATCGAGTCTGGATGCATTCCATGACGCCCATTATCTGCCAAGATGGCCCGACGACGTATACCAACCATACATTTTAGACGACTTGTATTCGTAAAGAGGTGCTGAGGCAGGCGGCGGCCACATGCCTCTTCGGCAGCGGGAATGCCGGCCTGAACAAAGACTCTCGGTCTCGGAGCGGTAAGGAGCCAGTAACGGCAGACTCCAGAGACGGGCGGCGAGCGGAAAAGGCGCGTGGCTGGCGCCATGACGCCAATTCCCACGCGCAGAAGGACTCGGACCTGCAAGCGACGAGTATTTTTTCTCTTTCTCGATTCTTTGAGTGGTCGCAGGAGAGTATCCACGGTTTCCACTGTGAGTGGATTGTCCCATTGGAGTGGGCAAGATGCAAGACCACGACATCGACATGGTGTTAGTAGGTGGGTTTTGGACATGGGTTCTCGTCGACCCTTGACATTCTGGGGTCCTTTTTCGGGTTCTTGAATATGCGGAGCTCCTACTTATGAAATGCGGGACGTTGACTGGGCGCAGAGATCGATGCGATGTAGACCTTCCTTTTGACAGTCATGCAACAGTCACCATTGGCTGGGAGGCATAGTATTACGGGGGTCAACTCCAAGCTTTGCCATCCGGGAGAAAAATAGATGCAATCCCTTTGGGTTTCTGAATCCCTTCGGCACATGTCTCGCGCGGACGGCTGAGTCTAGCAGCGGTCAAGAACGGGCGCTCGGGTCCGACTGTCGTCATGCAAACCAGCCCGGGTCGAGTTAGTCGTTTTTGGAGACATTCACGATTCCCAAGCTCCTCCAATCTCGAACGGTAAACCGGGGGCCGGAGGAGGAGGAGGAACAGCAGCTGGCGCCAGAAGTGACTCCAGTGAGCCCGCCCCTCTCCGATCTGTGCCGTAATTCTCCTCTCCCACGCTTCACCCTTGGCCCGGCATCTGGCAGCTTGGTTTGGACGGAGATCATGCCAGGATCTGGTGACGGATTCGGGTTCCTTCAGGCGCCTTAGCGAGAGTTTCCGACGCCCAGGTTCAGCCCATGGCGCCCAGCCCGGAGCATCCAGCCTTCTGCAGACTGCGTGTGTGCTGTACGACAGTTTGCCAGGCCCGCATCCCCCGAGTCGGGTCTGCCCAATTGCCTGATATCTGAATCCTTGGATTATTACGGACACGCGAGCGCTGAGTCGTCGATGGGCCTGCTAAGTCGCTGACGCCGACGACCACTTGCAGAAATCGCAGCCATAAGGGGTACGGAATCCGCTCAATCCCCACCTGCTTTCGCTTGACCCTTGTGTTTATGTCAAGCGCGAACTCCATTTCAATGCGTTGGATGAGGCAGGAGACTACGGAGTAATATGCACATGCCAGCCTCAGAAACAGGACAGGACAGCGCAATTCAAGGCACAGCATGCAGCGAAGAGGAGCAGAAGTGAGGAGTCCACGACCAAGTGGCATATTTCGGGCGACTAAACAGCCACTTCCATTATTTGGAAGCTGCTTGCTTGCGCCGCTGCTGACTCATTTGGGGCATCACTGAGTCTGCGATGTTGGGTTTCGCGCGGGTTCGCTGAATATGGCACCCAAGGCAACGAAAAGAGCGGATATGGCTGGTGGATTTGAGATGTTGTTGTCTTGTTGTGTTGTCTTGCCGCTATTCGCTACGACGCTACAACAATGCAGCCGCCCGTGGGAAATCACCATGGCAATCCGACCGAGCCTTGAATGAATTTCCCTTGTTGCTTGCTTCTCCGGCAATGCGGGTACGGGTAGCATTGACAATCACCTCGCTGGCGCCCACTTCGGTCACCAACCAATATGGATAGATTCCTTCTGTGGTTTCTCTGCCTCCCGCTCCTACTGTCTCAGTCTCGCTGTCAGCTCATCAGCCATGATCAGCCTTATCGTACGGACACTCCAGAAACAAACACGGCCACACCACCACCCTGAACTGGTAGACCAAGTTGGGAAAGGCATCCGGAGTAGCGGACTACCTAAAGAGTAATTTGAGGTTGTCCTGCAAAGAAAAGCTTCCTGCGCAGAGGCTCCTCCGGTTGGCTAGGCTTCCCCTGTAATAAGCTACGCTGGGCGTATCATGCCATGGGTCGCCCAACCTCTCGCATCGGCGCGTCAGAACCGCACCACAATCGTAGCCATAACATCTCATACATATCCCTCGCGTGACCCGCCCGCGCGGTTGGTGCTGCCCTCTTGTTTGGTGCTTCTGGCTTTCTTGCTTCTGCAGCGCCTACGCTTCCTTCTCCTACCCGTTTTCGTCACTTTTCTTGGTTCCTCTTTCTTTGGTCCCAAGCAACCTTTCCTCTCTGGGTGCTACCGTCCTTTTTATGGACTTGTTGATGGAGACTGCTTGCATTAGGGCCAGCCAGTGTTAGCTCTTCCCCGTCGAAACCGCTTTTTAAAACCCCCGTTGTCCCTCCCCCGGACACCATCTGACGGGTTCGGTTTGAGTCTGGTGGGAACTGAGATTCAAACTCCCTTTTTCAACACTACCAACCGAATGGCCATTGGCGCTATTCTCACCTTCACAACTCTAGACGGACATGGCCGAGTCTGATCTCGTCCGTCCTTCAACGTCGCATTCCGGCGCCTCGGGCTTTCAGAGGAGGTTTCTTCTTTCAAGCCCGGGGCGGCCTCGAACCGCAACTGGTCTCAACGACCCCAAATTCAACACCCCCTCGCCTGCTGGTGGCTTGGCTATCCGAGTCTGCATCAAGTTTCAGCCGTCTTTGGATCTTACCTATGAGAGACAATATCAATCATCGTACGGATTCGAACCGACCGATCAACTATGTAAAGCACTTATGCGTCGCTTAACCCACTGCTCTCATGAGCTTCTCACCCGCAGAGATTCAACCGCCCTCGAGCGGACTATCCCACAGATTGGGGAAGGGAAGCCGCTTCGATTTGAGTTGACCTACCAGATCTATCGCGGAGGCCCGGAACCATGGGCAACGAAAACGTTCAGTTCGTACCAGAAGTATCCCATGGATAAGCCGTCTGCCATGGAGATCGCTCGCTCGACAGACCGCATTATAGGCTCCTTTATGAAGCTTCACGACAAGTCTTTCAGATGGACGCAAGGAAGGACACGTGAGCGATCCTCAAGCGAGCTGGAAATTCTCAAACCTTTGAGCAACCCGGTCTCCCTCCTTCACGTCCCCCAATCGCGTTTCATTGATGCTACCCAAGATTGGGAATTCGTCCCCGGCTACGAGATCACTCTATCCTTCCGGAGTCGATGCAAGTCACGCAGGCAAAGAGAATGGCAACGTACTATCACGCTGAAGAGCAAGCAGAGCTCCCCGCTAACCTTATCCCATGGAGAAGATATGGCGTGGGTTTTGTCAACAGCGATGCAACGTGCCTTGGATGCTAGGAAGATGGTGTTTGATAGGCATCACCGCCAATCTCGTGACAGATTTGACTTCCTTGACGAGTCCCATCATTCTGAGCAAAACGCTGTTCATGTCGGATTTCAAATACGGAATCAACTTGGACTGGATCACAGGCACCTGCGCCGCGAGCTTGATAGCAACCTGCTCCTCTTCGAGCACCCTGAGGGTCTCGACTGCGACCAGTTCTTGAGCCAGCTCCAACATGCCTTTGAAGCGGTGCGAGATGATACTGACAAGGAACTGAACGAGATGGACGACCTCAGAGTCACAGTTTATGAACTCTCCGGGCGCGGCTGGAAAACCGAAAAGCCATTTGCTGTCTGCCTCGACTCAACTGCCTGCTATTCTCGGAGAACGGTCAAAGCCATCTTGGACAGAGTGCAGACCGGCGTTGCGGATATCCTCGGAGGCAACGATATAAGTATCACTCTGATGGTTCACAAGCGTGGCCACCTGGTTTTGGACAAGACCCTCGTGGCCCGTTCGCCGTACTACGCGACGGGACAGCGCCAAGACGAAGATCCTGAGACTGTGAAGGAGAATTTCCTGTCGAAACTCAAGAGCCGAATCCAATCCGACATTGCTTTGGTGGTGAAAGACACGTGCGCTCTCTACGACTCTCAGCCACAGAACATTCGCGTTGTCGAGCGGCCAGTTCCTGCAGCGAATGACCCTGCAGAGATGGAAGCTTTACCATCTAGTAGCCCGCTCCCGATCCCGACGCCTAATGGAGCCGTGCCGGACTCTTTCGATGGCAGCTTCACTGAGTCGTCCGAACCTTCGATCCTCGAAGATGAAACGCTTCAGAATAGCAGTGGGGTTGAAACGATGGCCGGAAGCGTCAATGACACCGTGGGGCCCTCGCAACAGCCTGAAACTCCAGCCAAAGCAATCGCTTCCAGAGATCAGCTCGACTGCAGCGGCAGCAGTTTGTCCTTCTCGATGACTGAAGACGGCGAAACTACATATCCATCCTCGTCGTCTACTCCAAGCCTTGCCGACGATAACATTGGCACGCCCCACGATAGCCTCTTGATCACGCCGACCTTTATGCGAACGCTCTCGGGAACCCCTCAACAATTTGACGCAGATCCGAACATTGCCGGTTCAGAAACCTCCGATAGCGACCTTGTCGACGATTCACTAGTAGGGCCGCCGACACCGACGATGCAGCGCTTCAACGGCCCACGACAGTTCAGCCTGCTGGGTAAAGGCAGCCGGTCTGTTTCCAGACAATCTCTGGTATCAACCGACTCTGGTTCCGAACAGCGGTCACTGACCGACTCGGAACCGTCGCCTTCGCCAGAACTAGAGGATGTGATTGTCCAGGTCGAAGAAGTTGCTGAGTCGGAGCCCAAGGTCCAGTCTGCTGCCGCCTGTTTGCCGGTATCGCCTGCCGCGGAGGTCGACGAGCCATCTGAAGAGCCTGCTCTAGAAGGTTGGCTCGAATACTGCTGCGAACCAGTCGATGCCGACGAACAGTCGGTCGCACCGGAGTCGGAAGCATTGCTTGAAGCCGAAGTACAGAATGCCGAGGAGTCGATAAGCCAACAACAGCCAGTGATCGTCATCACTCCAGACGTACCACGAGCTAGGCCTTCTACCCCTCCCCGATCCTTCGAAGGCTTCTTAGAGTACTCTATTGAAACCATCGTCGAAGAGGACGAGGACGACTCTGATGCTGAGTTCCATGACGCAGACTCTACATCTGCCTTCGCCATCATGTCGAGCCCTTCAAGCTTTGCAACGGCGACGGAGACTGGGCTGAACTCTCCCGTCAACTTCGACAATGGGCCACTCTCACCCCTTATTCTCGATTCTGCGACGGCGT